ATTTAATGGTATCGTTAATGTGATAATCATGCATGTTTTGATTAAATCCATTCGTATTCACTCACAGTTTCTCATTCATTGCAAAAATCACAAAAATATTTCACTTCCTTTATCGCACAGTTATTTTGAGGGAGGATGACGAAAACGAAATACCCATAATTGCTAATAAGTATGCTTTTGGATAAAATCGCGCCGATGATGTACAAGCATTGCTTCAAATTCCCAAACACTGAAGAGATAAGGAGTTAGTCCCTAGTTAACCACTTCGAGCCTAGAAGTAGGAGTTTCCTTCGGATTTCTAAACCCTTATACTTAACCTGGGGCATGGGTAGTATTTAGTTAACTTGATTACGCGCTCGGATCACGAAAGAAAACCCAAATACAAGATGGTTGTTCATCAATAATCCTTGACATGGCAGTCACCATTTTTCAAAAAAATCAAAAGCCTGCTAAGTCGAACACTTCAAAATGAGACTTAGGCAAAAATCAAGGCAATCCCGATAGATCTGACAAGCAAAGCCAGTCCATGCAAAAGTTAGGGATCAAAAGAAAAATGAAAGAGGTCTTCAAATCCTCAACAAAAACAATATATGATTCGGTGATCATCATACCAAACTAGAAGGGTCACCGGCATCATGAAAAAAGAAATAAGGCGACTGCCGTTGCGAGCATACCTTGAATCATCAAGCCTACACCGTCAAGGTAAACTTTTGCAGAATTAACTGAACGTAGGTATGGAGATTATCACGAAGAAGGGGTGGGTACCAAATCATACTTTGAGCCTAATATCCTTTGTTTTCATAACCGTGAACCAGACCACGATACAACCCTCAAAAGACCTAATTGAGGCGAGGTTTTATTCTGAAAGCATATTTACGGCAAGGTTGCGTAAACTGACTCCTACATATTTGCTAATTTTATGTATTGGTGTCATATTCTTGCTATATCTTTCACACCAATTAAATCAGCATTGCGTTTGGATTGATAATCCACTCATCACACATTTTCACATCATTCCCAATAATTAATGTTTTCAAAACTTACATGAATGTCGCATTAAAATTACCATTTTTGAATGAACAATTTTAAACCGCAAATCAGTACTTGACATTATAGAAATTCCAACAAAGTGCAGTCAAAGAGGAACTTGATCGCTCATTGGTGTTGACCTGAATCAAGAATGTCTCATAACCCTACGAATCTGGGGCAAGTCCTTTTGAGGTTTAAACCAGGGCAAACCACTACAAGGCCCAGACACTGGGGCAAATGGGTTCAAGCCATATCCAGGTATAATCATCGCCAAAGTTCTCATCCCAGAAGAAAATCCTATAAATACCCCGCAGACTGGGGCAGACCATTTGAACTGGGGCAGAGTAGCTGAACAGGGGCAACTTCCCTTCACGCTTTCAAAGTTGATCAAGATGACCACACCAGACACCAGTAATGGTTAGGGTCCATAAACGTCAAAAGCCTTGGGGCAGAGCAAAAGCATGACTAACACGCATTGGTTAAGTCGCTACGCTCACGCAATCCATATGCATTGGTTGAGTCGCTACGCTAGCATGACTAACACGCATTGGTTAAGTTGCTACGCTCGCGCAGTCAACATGCTTTGGATAAGTCGCTACGCTCAACATTTGTAAGTCGTCATGATGTACCAGCTAAAAGCGAGGTTCTTACAAGAACAAGAATACCACTTCTCCAAAGGATCCAACTTGGAGCACCAAGAGTATCCACATTTGTCTTCTGATTGTGGCGCTATCGTATACCATGTGTCGGGAAGTCGAATCCTTTTGCCAATAAGAGTCCGATCTCGCTTGGCACGTCCATAAAGTCCAATATTTTATTGGCAACTACAAAAAGCCACTCCAATTGGCACCTTCAAAGTCCAGTTTTCATTGGCAACCACTAAAAGTCCACCCTCGATGGCATCCTATAAAACCAAAGTCCAAATCCATTTGGCAACTACCAAATCCAGTCCCTGGTGATATCCCCGACAAGATTTTATCCCTAACATACCTGATCAATTGCATTATCATAAGCACGATATACAATATCACATCATATCATAGTCATATCGAGCATTAGCATATCATTTGCATTCTCATCTTGCATTCCCTAGTAGTTGCATCTTAGTTGCCTGTTTATGTATCATAACGCATATCATCGCTGTCTTCAGCAACATAACATAGCAGCATAGTAGGATCCAGGATCGATTCGCGAGCATCGTGGCCAGTCCTTCATCAAAGTCGGCAATATTTCTCTGTAAAGAGTTGATGTCCCGCAAGTTCAGGAATTCTACTCCCCAACAAGTTATTTTTCAGACATGAGTTGATGACAATAACCCCCAGCAGTTGTTGCTCTTATGATCCCCCAAGCAGAGGTTATCTTAGAAAGTTTATTGAAGACTTTCCCCTACAGAGTTTAGACAATGTTGTTCCTCTAATAGGAATTTTAGCTCAACTATTCCCCAGCAAATGTATCACTCAGAGATACTGCTTCGGTATCATCGAAGAATATTATTGAATAAGAGGCTGCTTCGACCACTCGAAGAATCTCAAGTTATGTTCAGAGATACTGCTTTGGTATCATCGAAGAATCTTATTGGACAAGATGCTGCTTCGACCACCCGAAGAATCTCAAGTTGTGTTCAGAGATACTGCTTTGGTATCATCGAAGAATCTTATTGGATAAGAGGCTGCTTCGACCACCCGAAGAATCTCAAGTTGTGTTCAGAGATACTGCTTTGGTATCATCGAAGAATCTTATTGGACAAGATGCTGCTTCGACCACCCGAAGAATCTCAAGTTGTGTTCAGAGATACTGCTTTGGTATCATCGAAGGACCTTAACGAACGAGGGGCCGCTTCGACCACCCAAGGAGGATTGCTTATACCACTTTGGTATCATCGAAGGACCTTAACGAATGAGGGGCCGCTTCGACCACCCAAGGAGGATTGTTTATACCACTTTGGTATCATCGAAGGACCTTAACGAATGAGGGGCCGCTTCGACCACCCAAGGAGGATTGTTTATACCACTTTGGTATCGCGAAGGACCTTAACGAATGAGGGACTGCTTCGACCACCCAAAGGGGTTCATTTATACCTACTTTGGTATCACAAAGGACCTTAACGAATGAGGGACTGCTTCGACCACCCAAAGGGGTTCATTTATACCTACTTTGGTATCGCGAAGGACCTTAACGAATAAGGGACTGCTTCGACCACCTAAAGGGGTTCATTTATACCTACTTTGGTATCGCGAAGGACCTTAACGAATGAGGGACTTCTTCGACCACCCAAAGGGGTTCATTTATACCCACTTTGGTATCGCGAAGGACCTTAACGAATGAGGGACTGCTTCGACCCCCCAAAGGGATTCGTTTATACCACTTTGGTATCGCGAAGGACCTTAACAAATGAGGGACTGCTTCGACCACCCAAAGGGGTTCATTTATACCCACTTTGGTATCGCGAAGGACCTTAACGAATGAGGGACTGCTTCGACCACCCAAAGGGATTCGTTCATACCACTTTGGTATCGCGAAGGACCTTAACGAATGAGGGACTGCTTCGACCACCCAAAGAGGTTCGTTTATACCACTTTGGTATCGCGAAGGACCTTAACGAATGAGGGACTGCTTCGACCACCCAAAGGGGATCGTTTATACCACTCTGGTATCGCGAAGGACCTTATTAGATGAGGGACTGCTTCGACCACCCAGAGAATATCAAGTTATCTTATTCATCCTATTAACCCATTTATGGTACTTTTCACTCCTCTACCAGACAAATTTCGGGGTCTTCTTGTATCTAATTGACTTCCACCTTAAAATGAACGTCATACAACAATTCATTTGTTCAGGTTTAAGGCAATTAGATAGGGGCATCTGTCATACCCCAAATTTGTCCTACTTCGGTATTAAATGGATGTTTGACTGTTTCACGACATCTGGCTATAACTATCTGAGACTTCGTTTATAAAGACCATGTGTGTACACATTGTGGTTATAATCCCTAGCAACTTTTGTTGGTTTCTTGTGGAAAGAGCGCGCCTCCAACCCCTTATACCCAAACTCATATGTGTCCTCGTTATCACGATCAGGCATATGTGATATGGTCAACGACACCAAATGCATGATTGGATGCATCTCGTAGCATACTTGTTGGATTTCAAGAAATTTATACCCTATTTCAACTTGGTTACAGACTTCTCTTTAAGTTGCTTATTATGATATGCACTTAATTCAAGATGTTCAAAGATGTTTCACATAATGCTTCTAAATATGGTCGATGTTGACCTCAAGCTTTGTTCGAATTCATTGCAAGTATCAAGCTGTGTTTGGATTCTAAATCAGTTTGTGACAAACTTAGATTTAGCTTACAAATTTCAAGACCATGTTTCTACATTTTGTTCTTTGTGTCGCAAAGACCAAAATTGTGGGGTTTAGTTTCAAGCCATAGGTATATTAACTTCAAGTCATGTGTGAGCTGCAACATTATTTTACAGTCATGTTTAAAATATTCATAGTCAATCTCGACTTGATGGCCTTCAAGATGTTTCGATGCTAAGATTGATTCAGAATCGTTTTTATGGATTTTTATTTGCAAGGACTAGAATGATGTTTTGCTTGGCCAGTTAATGATGAACTTATTTAAAGCATAAGTCAAGCATCATGAATAATTGTTGAAGCTCAAACTAAATTCAATATCTTTTCTAATAGTATCTCCATCTCATCTTCAAAATGAAATCAGATTTTATTCGAATTCAAAGAGTTAAAGAATTGTTACTATCAACCACTTCACCCTCAATCTCACTACAGCAAATAAGAACAGTAAAATAAGAGATATACGAGACTTTACAAAGAGACATCAACAACAACCAAGTGAAAATCCTGCTTGAGAGCAACACTTTTATGTTCCTGTTCCACATAATACTGCTGAAGTGCATTTTGCTGTTAAGGATAGTGATGTGGTAGGTTCACAACTTATTGGTGTCATGGCAACTCATGATGAGAAAACTCGACGATTTTTCAAGCACTCTTCTGTGCAAGTGCTACTTTGTCCTCACATTGGTGGAAAACGACATAGTTGGGCCAAGCAAAAGGAAGTTGAAACAATATATACACATCATCAGAAGATTATTATTGTGGATGCTAATGCTGGAAATAACAGAAGGAAAAGTGTAGCATTTATTGGTAAACTTGATTTGTGTGACGGCCGATATGATACTCCCCATCATCCTTTCTTTAGATCACTGCAGACACTGCACAAGGATGATTATCACAACCCTACTTTCACGGGTAGTACTGGTGGCTGTCCGCGGGAACCATGGCATGACTTGCATTCTAAAATTGATGGTCCAGCAGCTTACGATATTTTGACCAATTTTGAGAAGCGCTGGTTAAGAGTTGCGAAACCTACAGGGATAAAAAAAGTTTAGGAGTTCGTATGATGATGCATTGCTCAAGATAGAAAGAATTTCAAATATTACCTAGATGTCTGAAGCTCCTAGTGATGGTGATGATAATCCTGTAGCTTGGCATGCTCAGATATTTCGTTCAATTGATTCAAGCTCTGTCAAGGGATTTCCAAAGGAGCCAAAAGACGCATCGGAAGAGAATCTAGTATGTGGGAAGAATGTGCTGATTGACATGAGCATACATACAACATACGTAAAAGCCATTCACGCTACGCATCATTACATTTATATAGAAAATCAATACAACTGGAGCCAAAATAAAGACATTGGTGCTAATAATTTAATTCCATTAGAGGTTGCACTGAAGATTGCCGAAAAAAGGCAAACGAGAGGTTTGCAGTATGCATAGTTATTCCAATATGGCCAGAGGGTAATCCAACAGGTGCTGCCACTCAAAGGATTCTATTTTGGCAGCATAAAACAAAACAAATGATGAAACCTGCAGAACATGGTAGACAAAATTAGTTTTTGGCTCAAGGAATAAATAAACGGCAAGGGGTGTTAGCATTCAAGAAGTGAGCAAATTAATCCAGGGGGTGGTCTTACTGATGGAGATGAAGCGCACGCTCCCTTACCTGTTATAAGGGAAACTCTTTATGATAATACAATGTTGTATGGAGCATCAAGGCTAGGACATATCTCACAAGAACCAAGCCCTTTAATTGCATTCCGTAACTTAAACATGAAACAAAAGGCAGCACAAGTCAGAATTGTCGGTTATGACGGCAGCAGAACAAGCACAACATGCTACAAATCAATTCTACAGAATGTTCACAAATTGGTTGAGCACATTTGGAATATTGGTAGAAACATCCCTGGGGAGTCTGGTCTATATTACCTCGTCGACCCCATGATTCACGTACAAGCATTCAAGTAAAAAGTTCTGCAAAGAGATGGCTTCATGCATTCTCTCATAATTTGAAATATATATAAGCAGTATTGGCAAAAGCAGGTGTCCCGGCTTCTCGGTAGTCAAAGATGGCATCTTGATGGATCGAATATTCCGTAAGTTCTATGCTTTTTTTTTCCATTTACTGCTATCATGAGATTTCAATGCGAGGCTTTGAGGCGACATATCCTGCATAACGAAGAGTGACCACGAGTTAGTGCCTTTACAAGTACTCTTATACGATAATATACTTTCACAATAATCAGTACACTAAACAGCAAAATATAAGCAAAAGTCCCACGCGCCATCCACATAATATCCAAGCAGTAGGTTATGAACTAATTTCATTCTTAACTCTAAATACATGAAGGCATGAACACTTAAACATATCATTACCACCTTTCTGTCAAAAGAACTGATACTCATATTAAGATTGGTGAGATGCTTTGGGAAAGGAGAGAAAACTCATGAATAAATTCACAACAACTTTTGCTGTACCAGAAAAATTAAGGTCAAGTTACAAAGCCCCTGCACAAAATTGCAAAAGTTACTACAAGAGAAAGGAGAAAAGATTCGCAAATCTGTTTTATAGCAATTATTATTCAGGTTCCAATGTTTAGGATTCTAAGGTGCTACCATTATGCTTTATCTAGACTTTAGCCCCTCATGCCGAGCCATTGCAACGAATATGGCAGCAAGTCTTTACCTGCCATGATTTCTCCCATACCATGCAGAATAAGAAAAGAAAGAGTAAAAAAGTCACTAACATTGAAATGTTCCAAGAAAGCCCTGATCCTCACCAAATATCTCTTGTGGTTCGATTGTGGGAACAACATCTTAGGTTTCTGACACCGTCTCGGATGGTCTAAACTGATGGAATGTTTTTCTATTATGAACAACACAAGAAAGAGAGAAGAGTTCGTTAGGAAATACGACGAGAGTTCTGTATTTTTGTGAGGATGAGGTAATAAGTCTTACCTAGAAAATGTCCTAATCATTTACGACCTCGCCTCTGAACCGTATGTGAACTTCTCATCTCATCAAGTTGTAACAAAATCTGCAGCACTTCATCATAAGCTACAAAATGATACCATACCAAGACTATCTCAACTTACGCCAATTCTTCCAACATCTTCTTCGATCAACCGGTGACAGCCTCATCCCTCAACTGACGGCAACCGTGTATATCTTACATTCAACAAAACAAGCAGCAGTTAGTCCACAATGCAATGGAAACTATGATAACTGGTCTTATATAATGCAGAATTTATAAAACAACAGTGTGTCCATGAAGTAATGGCAACACTCACAATTGAAGTCCAAGATGTTGCATTCAAAACTTCAGAATTTAAATAACACATTGCCATGTGATTACATCATCCCAGAGATAACATTGTCACACGTTTGGTCATTACAAAGGTGGTATTCAACTTTGGCTCGAAGAGAATCCGTTGGCGGCATCGATGCTTGAAGGCTAGACCAATTCCTAGACAAGCCATTCATCACTTCATTCTTACGCTGAGGTTGCAGAACATGTGCAGAAAAATGAAAGAGAATTAGTTAGAACAGCAACAATACACAAAAAACTAAGCATCATTCACATCTAAGCCGAAACTAGCAGGATTTGAGAGAAAGGAAAACAAGTCAGCAGTAATTAAATTCAACAGGAATCCTAATGGAGTAAGTGCAGTAAGAAAAGTGTTGCAAACATAATACATCAAGACCATTTTACCAAGAAACATAAAACGAGAAACGTTTCCACGTCACCTTCTGACTGCAGCTCCAAGCCATGCCACATGAACAATGATAAGAACGTCATTTGCAACAACTTCCAAATTCGATGAACATGGCCACTCCCATTATGCACGTGAACAAGGGTGAAAAGATTTTATTAGTGTGAATAAAATAGAAGTGGCACAAATGACTAGCATACCAGAAAGCTGTGTAAGATGAAATAAAAAGCTACAACAGCACAAAGCAAGTTATGCAGATACGTAACGAAAACTGAATGTTTGTTTAAAACCTTTGGACCAGCAAGGTTGATCATTCCAATTTATCTGTCATAGGATGAACAAATGGTTAGTACAAGTGGGACCACAAAAAGTTAATTTTTGCAAAAAGACAAAGCAAGGCAAATACACCGCAAATACATAACAGAGATAATGGTTTGCAGACACAGCACAATCCCTAACGGATTTGTACCACAAAATTGCACCTCACCATCACACGTATTACTCAGAAATACACCCTATTTCACACGTATGAACTCCCTATATAAGCACTTACTATTCACTCAGAAGTGGATACGAAAAAAAACCCTAAAAAACTACAACAGAAGACCCTAGGGAAGCTCTGCGAGATTGAATCCTCAAAATACCAGAGTCATTCGAAAATTCTCTTTAAGAGTTGATAAAGCTTCACACTGAAGCTCGAAGCCAACTCGAACTAAGCGGTATCACCATAACCAACAGAAGCGGGAGCAAGCTGAAGCGAGCTTAAACTTAAAGTATACGAGCCAAGAAGAAGAAAAGCGGAAAGATTAAAGCACGAACCAGTTATCTCGCAGATTCACCATCAGATTAACTCAGAGCTGGTGAGTTCCTTTTCTTACTGGATTTTCGTTTGCCGTCGCATGAACACCATGATTTACTTGCTTGAATATGGTAAAACTCTGATTTATGATTTGGGTTTTTCTCTTTGATGTGGTTTATGAGATTGATTTAGGTTTTTTTGTTAGGATTGAGTTGGGTTTAGGGATTGGTAATGTGATTTGGGAATTAGGGTGTTCTTCGTGTGGACTGTTAATCAGGTTTGTGAGGCATATGTGTGTATTTTGGTCGGTACGATGAGGGTTCATATTCCTTTCAGAAGAAGGAGAACCGAGTACCAAGGCATGGCTGGAGGTGTAGTTTGCTGATATGATCGTTTTTTTAGGAAAATAATATGTATTTGATTAAGTTTTCGGATGGTTTTATATAAAATATTATACTTTAAATGAATGACAACCAATGTTTCTTTATCAGTAGTTACTTTTTTTTATTATTGGAAAGATAATAATGGTTGGAATATGCGATGATGTTGACCGTTGGAAACCTGTAAGGACAGCTAGCATTGATATTTCCTTTTCCTAATTTGTTGAAGGTGGCAGCCAACATTTAGGGTTTGAGTGTGATCCGGGTTTGGACCATGTTTGGGCTAACCCCACGCCGGGTTTTGGGCTTTTCCCCATCATACTTTTTGCTCCCGCTTCGTGTGAGGCCATTGGACTTGCGTTTAGTCCATGTTATTTTTATTCTATTTTATTTTATTTTTTAAAATGTTTTGATAGTAGTGGGACTTAATTAATAGTAAAACTTATCTTTAATTGAATATTAGTTTTAATGATTGATCATACTGATATTTTTTGTTTTTTTTTTAATTTATTATTATTATTTCGTATATTTTATTTGTTCATCGCTAAATGGATTGATAATTATTATGGTGTTATTTAAAAATTAGACTGGTTAACCTTGGACTTTATTATAGCGTTAATGTTCTTAATTTTGATTAATGGCAAAAAATCTCAATTTTTTTTTTATACTTAAATCCTAGCAAATCATTTTCTTAAATTTAGGATGAATTTCTTTTTATTTATATGGAAGCGGTGGATCCTTGGTGTCTAGCACTCCTTGGATCCTTAAGCGATCGCTCTCGAGGTGTACACCTTGAGTTGTGGTCGTTTCGTCTTTCATCGATAAACACTTCAACATTGTTTAAACCTTTTCAAAGTAGGCAAACCCTAATCCTAACCATATGCCCACCCCAGTTTTATCTACCTCCACTAATATTCTCGAATCATTTTTCTTAATTAAATTACGAAAGTGTCGAGTTCTTGGAGTCGCACATTCCTTGAATTCGAGAGTGACAACTATTGAGGTGTACACCTCAAATTAGCGTCATTCGAACTTTCGTTCCTAAAAAAAACTCCTCTAATTATTTGGACAAGTATTCACTGTCCAACAAACATATTTCATAATTAATGGGATGAAAAAAGATGTCGCTGGGATCTAGCATTCCAACGATATCCCGACTA